TATATATATATATATATATATATATATATATATATATATATATATATATATATATATATATATATATATATATATATATATATATATATATAATATAATGCAGTGTAATTCTTCGATACAATCGAATTTCACTGATTTATGAATGTTTAGGTCGTATTGGAGGCTATAAAGACAGCCGAGAAAATTAGTAAACATTCACCTCTGATAGTATCACTAGTGAAGGATGCTGTTAATAGTTCTTATGAAACTTTCCTCCAACAAGGTCTTCGCTATGAAAGCCGACTGTTCCATGCCACTTTTGCTACGGTATGTATATTCGACTCATATTTGACTATAATCTGACCCTGTCTTATTTTCCTTTTCACACTCCTGACTTTCATTCAAGCAGTGTGGAAACATAATTCATCGTACTCGTAAACTATTAATCAGTAATGCGTTTTCAAATTGGAAGAATTTCTGAGATGTGTAACCATTTTCAACAATAACTAGCCTTCACTATTCACTGCTGTGAGATGCTGTAGTCGGATTTTGTAGAAGACTTTAAGTCGCAAAAATTTTTTCGAGTTTTATGTTATTTGGATTTAACAATTTTCTCTTTTTCAGAATGATCAAAAAGAAGGTATGAAAGCATTTTTGGAAAAACGTGAACCGGAATGGACATCTTCGTGATCTGAATGACATCAGTAATTTATTAGAGTAATAACTTTGGGCATTTTTTTTCTGCATCTGCTTTGCAAGATGGATATGTGCATAAAGGAAATTAAATAATGTCTTATCTACTACAAAATTTTTGAAGACATAGGAGTAATTTAACGAGTTTTATATTACATAAATGTGAGCAGTCCAATCGGATGCTACCAATATACCGAACTAATTTTGCGTCATCAGTTAATTTTATTAAATACTGAATCTACTAAACATAACGTAACTGATCACCATTAACAAAAGTCAATTTTCATAATATAATTCGTTCTGCTTACTCGTACGTTACGTCAATTTTCATAATATAATCCGTTCTGCTTACTCATACGTTCCAACAGTTTGGGGAACTACGATATTCTTATATATACATGGTTAAAATACCTAAAAACGCTTTAAAGCCATCTAAAATTCGTAAATGTTTCAGGCAAAGCAATATTTATGTCGAAATAAGCAAAATTATGCAAGACAGTGATGAAATTATTAGCAACATTTTACTGTCTAGAATTGTTAGAATCCTTTTAGTTAAAAATTGCATGTTTAGCTAAGAAAAGAAGCAAAATCGGCAATTAAGAACGTATCGTATAAACAAAATGAAGTCTAAAATTTTGAAGGCGGGAGTATTAATAAAATGATTTACATGGAAGAAAAGCAGTGGAAATTGCCGAATGCAAACGTTCTATAAGGTAGTTTTAGCCATGTAGTTTTATTTTTATTTCATCTAAACCTAAATATAATGGGGTTGCAAAAATTAAAAGGTTGGAATTTTTTCCTTCGTAGTTCAATTACACTACCAACGCTGGTTTCCTTATACGTAATCCATTGATAGATTTCCTAATGATAGAGACTTTTTTAACGAAAGGAATATTTGAATGTGAGAAGTCGCAAAAGTCAAATGAAATATTTCCAAACTGAAAATAAGCATGTATCATTTAATTCTCCTCCACCACTCTCTATTTCGCTCTTGTCATTTATTGTCGTTTGGGAAGGCTGAACGGACTAATCGAAGATTTTTTTCGATTTCGAGCTGAAGCAATATTTGAAAGAGATTAAGCAAATTGAGAGGATATCAGTAGCAAACATGATGGGAAACCGTACAGGAAAATTGCCCATAAAATAAAATTTAATTAAACGACAATAAATTTTGATGTTATAAAGGACCCATCCCGGATTTATTCTTGATTCCAATCAAAAAAAGAACTATTAAGACATCAACTACCTGATGTGCTTTTCGCAATTTTATGTTAGAAATTTCTTTCAGCAAAGGATAAGTCTGTTATAGTCTTTGCATACTTCCTCATTGATTTGTCGGTATTTGATTAATTGGCAATTTGGGATGTAAAGTTATTCCAAAAATATTGGAAGTTGATTGAAATCAAAAAAGAAAAATAATACCAAACATTTAATTTTCCTAGCAACGTTTGATAAGTATCAGTCTTGTACTGCTCGGCGCATAATCAGAATAAACTTAATTGATATGGAATCCATGGATCAATAGGAAAGTGAGTGGATTGTTCAGTTTCAAGGTCAGCAATTGCATCCATTTGTTCATTATATGTTACAAAACAAAAACTAAGCAACAGCAACTCTGTAGATTATAAAAGTATTTTATTCATTAAACACTTATTTAATTATAATCATTTTATGTATGACAGAATAAAGTCAGGTCGGTATTAATTTCTGTACAAGGATCAGAATCAACAAAAGGCTACTCAGCAATGATCTATGGCAGTTGTTTTTGGTTGGATTTCTGAATTATGTAAGGATCGGGACAAATCTAATTTGCAAACTAACTAGCAGTTAATATCAAATCGCCTTCTATCACTTTCCGCTTTTGTCTTTGGATGTTGGAAATGCTTAGAAATTATAATTTTTAATCTAGATCGACTGCGTTGCAGTTTTTTAGTACCTTTATTAAGCATCTAATCTCATGTAAATCTAAAAGAATGGACCGTGGAATGGAGATCGAATTTAGTGCTGCGTTAAGGAAGTCAGTAATAGTGATCAAATTTTCAAATTTATTTCTCAAAAGCGTCAAACTTTTGCATGTGGAAAAGAATAGTGTCTTTACCAATGATTTTTTTTGCAAACAAAATCATTCTTCACCGAGCATTTCTCATTCTACCAACTGGTGGAAGCAAATGTTCCAACATTTTTCAACTTGTTTTATAGAAGTTTGAGCTGGCGACATATACTCACAAATCCAGGTCGATGATTTGCTTGCAAATAACCGTAAAGACCTGGAAAATAGCCATTCTTAATACAAAGAATCACTAGATAATATTACCAAGCGTGTTCCGTCTTTCAGTGCATTGTAGCGGTGATCCAATTACCATTCCGGTATTACCAAACACTTCTTTTCAAAAGAAAACCATAAAATTGTTGGTCTAACAATCCTGATTGTTGAATCCAGAATATCGGGGTAACCGATAATATTCAAAAAAGCCCAGAGAGAGAGAGGTGAAGAAGATGGAACAATAAGTGAGTTATGCTCATAGGACGATGGAAAATATAGCTCAAGTTGTAACTTAGAATTTTTGTACTTGGCCAAAAAGAAATTTAAATTTTACCTTTGAGAAGTTCTAAATGGTTTGGTACAGTTTCCATCGTAAATGTTGAAATCAGTGTTTGGAAATTATTATCCGTCGCATAATTTATTAGCGCCATTTTTAGGATGATGCGTTTCGATTTCTCAATGGATTGAAGCTGAAATCTACTGAATACTTCGCTGAGGAAATTTGAATGAGTGGAAATGTATGTTTGAACATACAAATTTCATCTCAGTTAAGTTAAATGCAAATTTATATGACATGCAATAATGGTGAAACTTGAATTCTTCAATATTTTGAGGGAATTCCTGTATTATTTTCATTTCATGCATTGGATAATGCGCAGTATCCTCGAGAACATGTGTTTTTGAATACTTACCAATCTGTTGTACTCCACCGCAGATTTTTGCCAAGCAGCCATTGTATTTTCATCAGATTGCAGGACCGGTAAAGATTTATGCTATAATTTGTATGTAAAGTAAGCAGCTAATCATACAGTTCTAATACAAAATGTGTATCCAACATGAGCTGAAGTAAAACAGAAACTTACTTCTTTTATCTTTCCCTCGGATGCATCCATTTCTGCGCGGCTTTGACTTTTGATCAAAAGTGAAGCATTCGACTAAAATGTTGCCCGCTTTATTATTGGTAAAAATTAGGGAGGTTAATTAATTGCAGTTTGCAAAGTTCGCAAATTACCCATTCGTCTCCCGATAATAATAGATAGCTAACAGTATGAACGAACCATGAAAAGCAGGTACCTTTAAGCGCAGCTTAGGTTTTGTTTTCCGAACCATCAAGCCACTACATGATTGAATATTACTGTCGTCATTATCAGTTGGATGAGCAACATCGACTAATTCATTTAACATTTTCGCTTCTTCCTAAAAAACAATATTGTTATCAACAAAGGGGAAAGAAACGACATGGTTATATGCAAATTGAAACTGAATTGAATAATGAATAAAAAGAATATTAGTACCAATAATCTAATTAATGAATGAAATAAGTAGGAAAATCCAATAGAACCTGGAGATTTTAATGACTGTTTCACCATTATTGGTTATATCATACAGAGAATCCAACTTATTTACGGAGTGTAATAACCTCGTCAGCAGAGTATTATTGCAAAATTGCAAATAAAAAAAATTTACGAAAAATTCTTAAAGAATGATCAGATTATGATATGAAAGAAGCGAAGCATACTAATTCCTCAAAAATACAACTTCTTTTTGGACGTTTTGATACGGTATCTTCGACACCAATACTTTTTTCAAACGCTGCTACTGCTTCAGAAGAGTAGAGTGCATCGATGTCGAAAGGTAAACTCTCATTGTTTGTCTTTTTCTGTTTCAAGATTTCATTCCGTTTCCGGGAACAAACAAATTCAGGCGCCATTGTCATAGGTGATAATATCGTCCTTTGATTAACACACACCTACAAAACTGTCTACCGATTAGTATGATCGGTCAAGAAACAATGCCTAAATTCATATAATTGATTTCAACTTGATTTCAACTATGTGAATTCAGGCATTGTTTATTAAGTTTACGGAAGAAAGGTTCACTTTACGAATAAATTGTAGATTATAAAACCTTCATAACAGTCGAATGCGAGAAGAAAATATCCAAGGATCTCTTGGATATTTGTCAAAGAATCACTGAGGCTGAATCAGACAGATTATCCACAGAATTTAAAAAAAAGCACCGTCACAATTATTCTCGTTGCAGTGCTTAGCAGGATCAAATGAGAGGAGAATTGAAAATAGGCCAAACGAAAATTCATGGCCTCCATCAAGTATTCTGATTTATAAGTCATATAAAATAGAAACAATTCAACAAAATCCGCACCTCGATATTTCTTTTCTTGAAGAACTGTTTGCAATCATTTTCAAAATGGCCGATATTTTGATAATTTTTCAAAGATTCACGCATCCAGGAAGGAAACCGTTTTGATGGCATCGAACAAAATCTTAAAAAAGTAAACACATTATAACGGATACTATGATCAGAATAATCAAATAAGTAACAACTGCTCAACTAGTTAACTTCAAACACATCAAGTAATCACATCGCTATTTAATTACACTGTTAGTATTCTGGAGATTCTGTTATTTCTTTAAAAACTATGGTATAAATGACCCTCTTGGACGATAATTTACTTTGCCAAGTTACCCGAACTTCGTGTTTTTCTTCACTTGCACCATAATTATGCGAGATTGCGCTAAATAATTAAATGATTGGCTACAAATCTTACCGCAATTCTACAAAACCAGAACTGAACTTAAAGTAATCTAGACCTTGAATCAACAAGAATCACAACACCAAAATCATCCTTATGTCGAAGAACACGTCCAATTGCCTGATTCACACCGCGGATTGCATCCACCTGATACCATTCGTCAGCTGATATATTCTAAAAATTACAAATTTCTAAAGAATTTGGCAAAATAATGGAAAAGTTATTAGAAACCGATAAAGCGTAAGCTTCCTCACTCCACAAGTACATCAATGCAGTATTAAGGCTCAAAATTAATGAACTATAAGGAAGAAACAGAAGAAATGGAAAGAAAATGAAATGAATTAAAATAAGTTGGATAACACAACACTACCAATGTTGGTGAAACGCATGTTAAGTAAACTAAATGCAACATAATCGAATCTATTATATATAATAATTTCAGAACCATCTGAAATTGTCTTATTTTCCTATTGTAACTAACTTGGATGATACAACAGAGTGCAGTGATTCCTATCTGGGAGAATAATTTGTCACAGTCAATGAATTCTTTTTCTTTGCAATCAAAGTGAAACTTATTTTGTACAGGGTAACAAAGCAGCACTAACTTTTTTTAATTCCTTCTTCGCAACACCATTCCTTTCTTTAGTAAGAAATTGTTTTTTAAGTTCGATTCTAGGATTCGTTGTTGGAGCATATGGAATGCCGATTACGATAACACCACGGCTTTCACTGTCTAAGAAATCGATCCCTTCGCTTACCTCAAAAAATATCATGACCCAAAGAATAATTTGACATGTAAGATCTTGAGATGAAAATCAGCACGTAAATGACGTCATCATTCATGAACCATTTGTTCAAATACATTTTAAAGTCAAAAATATTTCTATGAATATCTGGAAAGAGAAAAGAATTATTGCGTCGTTTTTTCACAAGATCTATAAATATCATAAAATATCTGGAATACATCCGATATGGAAAATTACCTTAGCTCTACAGACAGCAAATAAGATGGCACCATTACCACCGCCTTCTCTCACTTTTTGCCTAAATTGCAGTAGCACTGCTTTCAATTCCAGTTTAGATTTTGGTTCAATAAATGCCTCTTTATGGGTTGTTATTGCTTCCCACATAAACGTCGCGCCGAACTTCGCTGTCTATAAGCAATTTTGACAAGTAACTTCGCCATAAAAATTTTAAATTAGTTTTAATCTTAAAATTGCGGACTGAACGTTTAAAGCATCCTACTGCAAAAACCGACAACGACAGTGACCAAAATCCTAATGGTGTTAGAATCTTACTGATACCAATGATGCCAGAGGTAATTAATTTTAATAATTCATTAAACCTCATTTTTATTTGGAATTTGATATATCTGTATATATATATATATGTATATATAAAATCGATAGAAGTCAATTCTATGCAGTAAGTTACTGCTACGATGTCATGCATAACAATTCCAAACAGGTCTCAAACCATTAAGCAGTCCTGAACAGCTATTTCAGCTTATTCAATCTTATTGATAGTCGCGGTATTTAGCACCATTATCAATAAGCAATAATTAATTGCTTACAACGCAGTAGTAATATAAAAAACGTTACATTAAAAGACACTGCAAACCTTCCAGAATTTCAGGCATGAATTCATAACAACGTAGGATGAGAAGAACACCAAGATACCACCCGGAATGATTTGACAGGCACGGATGATAACCTCCCAACTCCATAGATATATCCTGCACTGCTTCTAATAACAAACCAATTTAAATCAATAAAAATTAAATTTAAAATAAAAGTGCCAGCAAAGTACAAATGTAAACTAAACAAATAAAATTTTGACTATGTTCTGGAAGTCTCATAAAAAAAAAGAAAAAAGAAACTGCAGAAGCAGATCAAATTTTAAGATTAAGAAGAAAATAAATTAGCTTATTATTTCACATCCCTCATCATTATAGTAATAATGTGAAGAATGAAATCAACAACAACAAAGTGACATCGACTTAAAACAGGGAGGACTTAGCAAATGACAAATCCCTACCGCAAACGGCAAACAGCTTTAATGCAGCATAGGTGGGAAGTCGTTCTATTCTATCTTACCAAAAACTAAGAAAAAAAGAAACGCTAGTTCTAACAGCATCGTTTTTGGTTTTAAAATTCATTATGAAAATTTTGGAGACAATCTTATTTCGAATCCGATTTGACATTTAACAACGTTGCGTTTCGATCAAACATTGATTTCAAATTTCGATTTTACAAGCGCTCTGAAAATTATATACCGTTTATGAAAAGTGCCACAAAGATCGATTCCACCTTGACTAAAACGAATACGTGCACCCAAAATCTGATCCAGGTTAGCGGCATGTTCGTTTTCCAGCGTTATCGGGAAGCTTATACCAAGACTGTTAACAAATGAATCTAACGGTGATAATGTGCCACTGGTCACAATCACCGAACGTACACCACACGACTGAAGATACCTCAAATGCAGTGATAATTGTTTAACCACGTGAATGAAGAATAATGAAAGTTTGATTAGCTAGGAAAAACCAATTCCCACTTCCGTTTACTGTATCTCTTGAAAGAATTCCATCTTCAGGGATAAGAACTTATTAGTTGTTCCAATATGTCTTCAAGAATACGACCATTGGACTAGTACTGTATTCAACATACCAAGGCATTTTTTCCAGAAAGTTTGAAAAAAAATTTTTTCCCTAAAAAAGAATCTGTATAAGTGGTCCAAAACCAAGCCGCTAAATGCAAAACTAACTGATTTAATTAGAAAACTTAATTTTTATTTCAGAATTCTCAAAATTCCAAGATGTTAATCAACAACAATATTTAAGACATTTATGGATTGGCTTCATCTTTGTGCAGAAGATCCTTATTTATATCAATTCATACAAAACAATTTTAAAAGTCTCAAACATTTCCAATATCAGTAAATTAAAGACTAATCACCTAATCAGTAAATAGCTGAATCACTGTAAGATGCTAAAACATCCTCACATGCAGCGGTGTAATCACGCATGCCAAGTGCCTGATCACTGAGCTAAATGAATCGCATGATTCTGATAGTCAAACATATTTATTTAAGGAAAAAGTTAGATAAGGTTAGATATCGATAATGAAAAAGTGACTAACCACATTGCAACTGATGGTGAAAAACACCAGTAATTCAGCGTTATCACTGAACCATGTTCTGTTACGTAAAGCTAAAATACATCACGATTACAAACTGAAAACTTTCAAAACTTCGTAACTTCAGATCAAGTGAATAAAGAAAAAACCACCAACAGTCTCACCGGTACATGTATCAAGGGGATCACAAATGACTAGTTCATCTATTTCGTGCAATGC